AACGACAGCAGCAATATTGAGGTGAGGCAGAAGTAAAAGACTGTTTCAGCCCTTTTGGTCTCTTGGAGCTTCCTCAGACCAAGAACACAGGAGGGTCTTCAGATGACTTGGCTACAGCCTCTAGCTAGTGTCTTTGGATGTGTTTTTTCACAGGATTTTGCAGGTGGGTAAGGCTCCATGGGCTCTGTTCCTGCAAAAATGCATGTCAGAGTGTACATGTATACATACATACTGTGGCTATGTACACAGTTTTGAGTCCAAGACCCATTTTCTCTACTGTTCTGGCAGTACCAGCCTTAGTTGTTCTTGGGGGAAATACCTTGACATAGATACCTCTACATTTCTTTAAAAAATACCTCTGTACCCCTTTCACGATTTCAGTTTGAGGCATTTCTGTCCCAAGTTTGCTGGCTGCCAGCACCATAAGCTCGGGCTAAGACCCATCTCTGAGGATGACATACGGTTCTGTTCTCTGGAAGCTGGTAGAGGATGTCTTTTCTCTCCTCTATACTGCTGCAATATTAATAGTAACTTCTTGGCACTTTGAAGTTAAACAAGTGGGATATGTATATGCCCAAAGGCATGCCTAAGAATTTCATGCTTTCACTGGCATCCAGGAGTGATGGGAAAGAGCCTTCTCTTGGTTACCCTCATCTTGTCCAGTCACTACAAATGGAAGTGTTTACACTTCTTTAAAATGGAAACGCTAGTCCTTCAGTCACAAAACCACAAGGCAGAAACTCCTGAGCTACAAGTGATCCTAGAGCATGGCTTGTACTTCTTTCCATTGCTGTTATCAAATGGAAGGACCACGAATGCCTACTCTCCTGCACATTCTCTAGCAACTGCACTAGTGCTGATCTGTCTTTTCCTGCTCAGTTTCCCCATCCTTGTTTAGTAGCTACAGGGCCATTCCTCTTTCTCTGCCTCAGATTGTCTTAGTTTCCATAAACGATTCACTTAAGGGATTTATCCTAGAACAAAAACACGTGGTGCAAGAGTTTGAATTTCTCCCTTCTCCATCCAAGCCTGATGTCCTGGACATAAATTCGTCCCACTGCCAAATTCCTGTGAGTAGGTGCAGGGTTTTGGGTGTTGTTTTGGTTTTTAAGTGCTTGAGAGCCTAATACTGCCCTCTTTAACTTCTTTAAGTGGCTTGGTCCATCTTATTCTTTTAAAAAGAGGATGGCTATATTTGATTTCCAGTGAGAATTTTCTTGGTAGGCTGATGTAGCTAATTAAAAATAACCTCCTTGGTCACTGATGACCTTAATGGCAGTCTCAGTATTTAGAGTGCGTATCTAAAGTGCAAGGCTGACATGGGGTGGGAATGGGAGGGTAGAATAAATTTCCAAGAATAAAAATGAACAAGTGCCTAGATAAATAGCTGCCATTACTAGTAAAGAGACTCTGGGTTCAAGGTCAACTTTATAACTTATTAATGACCTGTACCAGACTGTTCTACTAGGCACTGTGCAAATGCCAGGCCGGGCAGAGGCCCGAAGAGCTGGCAGCTGGCCTAGGTTTGAATGTAGAGTTGTTTTCTTATGCAAAGGATTAATGCCATCTACTTGAGTTGTCAGTCCTAACTGTTTAGGCTATGTTCCTGACTCTTCCCTTGTCCCAAAGTTTGTTTGTTTCCCAAAGCTCTCCCTTTGACAGTAGCAAAGGAGGTGGAAAAGCAGTGATGCAGCTGCGACATGCACACACGTTTGGAAGGGTTCACGCTAATTCTGGATTTGGAAAGGAAAACATGGGTCAAACACTCCTGAGGGTGTCTGCCTGCTGCCTCTGCTGTGGAAGAGCTGACAGCCTCCAGGCACCATGGCTACAGGATCCTGCATTTCTGAGGTCTCCTTGTTGACACAGCCTGTTTAGATGTGACTTCTATTTGCCTTTTTTCTTTCCCTGATGAAGTAGATTAAAAAAACCCAACTGTTTGATTGGGAGGAAATAATTTGTAGCATCAAAAGGTGCCAGCCATCTTTGGGAAAAATATTTATGTACTGAAAATCAGCATATTTCTTCATGAACTTGTGCTGGGTTTTATCCCCACTTCCTTTGCACCTAGCCTTAGAAGCCTATGTCTGTCTTCTCTCCATTTGCCATTTACATAATCCTGCTTTTCACTCTTGCTTTCAGGTCACCTTCTTGTTCAGGTCCACTTTTAGCAAAGTACATAAACAAGCAGCAGCTGATCATGTGCTGTTGGGCTCCCTAATGATCAGGTAGTGCCCCTCTGGGCTTGACTTCAATGAGAAGCATGCCAGGAGAAGAGGATGGGGAGTGCCTGTGTTTGGCTCTTGCTCTGATAAGACTCTTAAAATTGTCAGGGTTCACTGGCTTCTAGAGATGACTTTAATCATTAACTCCTCTATCCTGCTGCACACTTCAAAGGAGGATGTGTTTGTGGGCAGGTAATGTGAAGAAGGGTAAAGCTTTGACTTGATACTTCCCCTAGCTCTTGTGTATCTGATGGAGCTCATACGAGGGATTATTTGCTTCATCATTGCTAAGGACACAGAGTTTTCCTGATGGGACAGTGGGGATGGGATTGTTGAGAGCCAGAGCTCTGTTAGATGGCTCCAAGCACTCCTCTCTCCAGAGCCAGCTTTTCAAGTGGGCAAAGCCAGATCCTTCTGCTCTGCACAGCTCTACCTATTTATTCTCTCAGATTCCTTACATCCAGGATCCAGAGCAACATGTGCTGTGGGGATTGCTGTGTGTGATGCAAATGGTGACTTCTGGGCCCCTTCTGCTTCTCTGCATCTTGCTGTCAAGAGCAGGATAGTTGTCCTGTGTGCTCCCTCATGGTGTTTTTATTCCTCTCTCCCCTTCATGTACATTCTTTACTTAGGATAGAGATTTGTACAGATAGATGTCCCACATGCATTGCCATCTTGCTGCTCTCTCATGAAACAGGTAAAGGAGAGAGAGGAGGGCTGAAGGACAGGGGAGGGCAGTGATTGGCACCTCTGTGCACTGCCAGTGAGAGTTCAGTGGTATCACTTCTCTAGGGAAAGCTTTGTAAGCAAACCAGCTGCTTGCAGGGACTGAAGAGTGTCTGTCAGCTCAGTAACATGCTTAGTGCCTTGAGAAGGTTGTACCAAGTTGTGTGAGCCATCAGAGTTTCAACAGCAGCTACTTCAGTCTGACTCTTACTACTTTTTCCTGTCCTCTGGCAGGTCTAAGCTTCCTCAGTATACCTTCCTGAGAGCTAGCTGGAGGTGGAGCGGATCTCTTACTGGCTGTAGTCACTACATGACACATCAGTCATTTCCATCTGCTTGAGATCTTCAGGGCTGTTACAGCTGCTGTGCCTTTTTGGGGTCTGCTTGTTGTATATGGGGGCTTCAGCTGTTCCATCCTTAGTACCCTTTCTTCTGAAGTATTAAAAAAAAAAAAAAGATGTAGTTCCAAGATCAGCATACCAGCTGTGGGCCCTGCAGCCTGGCTGTAAGACCTGACCTTCCTCCTGCTTGGCTGTGCATCAGCAGAAGCTGATCTGCAGCCCCCAGAGAAAGGGTTGGCGGCTGCCTGCGTGGCCCCTCTGTCCCTGCTCTACTGGGCATTGCCCTGGAAATGAAGTTTTGGGTTGCTTCTCCCAAAGGGACCACGAAATGGAATCGGGGAAATGGAATCAGGGTCTCCTTCCCTCCCTCTTTTTTTTTCTTTTTTTTTCTTTTTTTTTTTAAAGTGGAGGGGAAGTGCTACTTATGCCACATAAAACCCATGTTGCATACTTGGAACTGTGGCACTGTCTGTGGCTGCAGTGATCACTGTTGAACATCAGCCTTTACCCATTCTTGGGGACAGGAATGTGTGTGTTTGTATATTTTGGGCCTTGTTCTGTGCAAGCTGATGCTTGCATAACTGCTGATGGGAGTAAGGACGGAAGGGTTTGGCCTCCTCCCTGCACAACCTCTACATGCAGTCAGAACAAGTGACTAGCTACTTTGAGATGTTCTTCTGTTTAAGGGCAGCATCTTTCTCAGTAGCAAGGTGCCCATAAGAACGTGGTGAGGAACACCATGCATGTGTGAGAATGTGAAAGGGGAAAAAAGGTTGGCAATCTTGACAACAGGAATAAATTTCCTTTCTAGCACAATTATCCAAGAGCGTAGTATCACAGATGAGAGGTCCTGCTGGGCTTCTTATGTGAGGACTATCTCCAGCCTCCCTGGATTTGACTAGCTTGATTAACCTCATCACATATGTACAGTCTGCTGCTTTTTCAAAATGGTGTATGCAGCTATGGTGTTTTGGGGTTATGGTGTTGGGAGAGTTTCTTTTGCCTGTGCATCAGGAGACAGTAAATTGCCATTTGATTAGGAAAGAATGTTATTGTGGACTTGAGATGTGAAGGTTGTGCCTGCTCTCTGCAGATGCCTAGTGCACACTCTGGATGTGCAACTGCACAGCAATACGTGTTTATGAATCTGTTTCAGGCAAGAATTATTGGGTATGAGAAAGGAGGTTTGGTGCTGGTGTGAATCCCTGCTCCCACCCTCAGCAGTGCCAGCTACTTTTCAGTCTATCCCAGTGTGCTGTCAAAGCTTTTGATAATTATTCCTTGCTGTGGCTCATCCCTACTGCTCTTCTGAGGCTATGGCTGCACTGCAGCCTATGGCGTGGGATTTGGGAGACCTTTGCATAGTGTTTTAGGCTGAGCTAGCTGGCATAGCGAGTTCAAGCACCAAGATCTGCCCAGGATCCTGGACAGTTTGCATAGCCTCCATGGATGTCTGTACTGGTGTGACTTGCTGCTGTAGGCCTTCAAGCCAGCAGTGTCCAAGTAAGCACAAGACATGTGTGTCCAAGTGCAGTCCATGCTCCTGGGTTGCAGTGAAGGCACTGAGTGTAGTCCTAGTTTGTTTGTGTTTGTGTGGTTTTTTCTTTTTTTCCCTGGGGAAGGGAAAATCTGTTGAATGTGGACTAACACAATGGATTGAGCTCACTGAGGTAAGGGTGCTCTTCATCCATACACTTTCTCTCCTCAGGAAAGAAAGCAGTGATGGATTCCAGCCCGTTCCTGTCGGAGGCCAATGCAGAAAGAATTGTGAGAACCTTGTGCAAGGTCCGGGGAGCAGCACTGAAGCTGGGACAGATGTTAAGCATCCAGGGTAAGTGGTAGCTATCCTCAGCACTGCTGCCAGGTGGAGCAATTGATTTCTTGTGATACGTGGTCAGCTGTCTGTAATCAGTGTCAGGTGGATGTGGAGAGACTATACAAGTGGCTTTCTCATGTGAGAGCAGTGATGGAGATATGTTTGATTCAGTTCAGTCTAATCCCAGTATGAAATAACTAGATGTGTGCGCTATATACCACCACTTTCCTAATGCCCGTATTATGTCAGGCACACAAGTGAAATTGGTTGAAAATAAGGTGATGCTCTTTGAATTTTAATGCCTGTGTTGAAAGTGATTGTTGAGAAGCAGGGCTATATCATGCTCTGTATACAGGTGTCCTGCTAGGAAGGAGAACAATGACAAGAACACAATCCTGTTCTCTTGTTCACCAACAGTGGTCAAGGTTATATCCACAGCCCTCTCGCATTACAGCATGTTTATGGTTTCCATGTTTTGTTGTACTGAAGCTTTGCTGGAAAGGCCAGTATGGCTGATCATCTTAACAGGTATAAACCACTCATTTTCATCTTGAGAAGGCTTCAAACTGGTACTTACTCCATCAGGCTCTGAAGTCAGTGACCACAGGTAAAGGCATTAGTGACATCAGTGTCTGCACTGAACTTGTTAGATTACTCCTGGAAGATAGCAGGTGTGTTGAATTCAAACCTTATCTGGACATGTTCATTTCACCTTCCTGCCCAACTTGATAGGGAAGGGAAAAACCAGCCAAAAATAGCTGTTACACTTGTCTGGAAATAGCTTTCAAGATGTCACTGAAACTGAGTCAGTGTCTGAGTGCTTGAAGTACTTGGCTTGCTCGGCTTGTGCTTCTACTTAAATTTTTGTAGGTGTTGACTAATGAGGATGGATCTAGTATTGTATTAAATAACTTGGGCTAGCCAATAAAGGGAGACCAGCTCCCTGTTCCAGAGAACCCTCATTGTGGCATTTCGTCGTTCTTCGTTTGCTAATCACTTGGTTTAGGCGTGTGCCAGGCTGATGTCAACATTAACAAACCTAGGTGGGAGGCAGCAGCTGCTGTGTCAAAGGCTGCCACCCATATGCTGTTTTCTCACCCTCTAGAATCTGCTAGGTGCCAAAGACTGATGGTTCACAGTGTAGATCCAGGAGGAGCTCTTGTGCTCCTTGCTTTCTGTGGCCAGTGCTTCTGGTATGTGGGGTGAGTGTCTGGAAATCAGCTCTGAAGTTAACTTGTCTACCATAGGTGGAGATTAAATTGAAAATTCTTAAGACACTATTGAGTTGCACCAGGTGTGTGCCTAGAGCCTGGTCACAGCTGCCCTAGGCTTGGATGTCAGTGAAGAGGGAATAGCTGTGAAAGGCCAGCTCTGAGGAGCAGAAATGCTCTGGATTTTTGTCATTTGTCTGTTCTCTCCTAATGTTACTGAGCTCTGGCAGGAGTGTCAAACACTTGCGGATTGACTTCACTTGGGTGTCAAGAACATACAGGCCTTTAGCAACTTCAGTGGCACTGCCCAGCCCTCATTTGACTCTTGTGATGAGTGTGTGGAGTGCTGCAATGCCTGGCGAGAACATAGGCCCCTGGTAACCTTGCTGAGGGACAGCTGTGGTGAAATAAGGTAGACACTTCCAACAGTGTGGAGTATCTGGTTCTTGGGCTGGCTGTTTGGACAGGAGGGTTTCACACAGTTCCTGCCACTTCATGGGCTTCTTTGTGGCCTGGTGAGTTTTTGAATTGGCTTCTTTGATTAACAGGGATGTGTGCTAATTGAGCACAAGGGCTCTGTTGCCTTGTCCAAGTGAACTAAACCACCCAGAAGTTACAAAGCAGTGTCCTTAAACCCTGATGTCTGCTTCTGGGAGTCAGTGTATTTGTTGGGCACCCACATTCCTGGAGGTCATGCTCAGAAAGGATGCCAAGGGCCCAAAATTACCCCATGTTCTGGGGCATGTGCTCTGGAAGATGTTGGAAAAGCAGCTGCATTTGCCTTGCCTTGACTCTTGCTTTGTGTTTTGTTCTGGTAGGGCCTCATCAGTTTACCACAAAGACGTAAAACCTTGTTCATCAGCATGTTGTAAGCCTCGTTTTGTCAGAGTTGCCTCCGCAGCATGACTGATTTTTAACACTGCTGCTGAGTTTCTGTACAGTCAACCTGGACTTGCAGGTTTCTTGGCTATTTGGTGTTGCACTAATGAACAAAGTGGTGGTCAAGCAGCCCCAGTTAAGAATGCCCTCTCAGACTAAAGGTTGAAATAATCTTGTGAGTTTACTGGATGTCAGCAGTAAGCAAAATAACAGAAGTTAATCCTAAATGTCTGTGGCAGACCCTGATACCTTGACACAAATGACTTCTTGGAAGCAAGAGTCACTTTTAGTGAGGTTCATTCTCTTTCTGCACAGTCATCCTAGGAGGTGCAGGTTATCATGTTACAGCATGGTGGCTAGTATTTTCACATACCCCTGAGAATAGTTTTGGTAATGTTCAGAGGCTTGGCAGTGATACACCACTGATGATAGAGCAGAAGTTTCTTTCAGTGTTTGGAATGTGCATGTGAATGCAATGTCTAGCCTTCTTGCAGGGTTATAACGTCACAATGGGAGTTTTACTCACTGTTCCTGAGAAGCCTGTTAATCTCTGTCTTGCAATGACAGAATGGGAGCTCCTGTTGATTCCACAGTGGGATTTTGTTAGTAGTTTTAAATGCTGCTCATGGCTTCAGTGGGAATTTCTAAAAAATGCTGAGTGTTAATGTTATGTCTCTGCATTATGTATCTTTTCCTTGTCATTCCTTTCTACTCCTCTTTCCAGAACAGTGCTCTTAAGGTAGCTGTTTGTTTCTTGTTTCCTGGGATAGACTCACAGTTGTACGTGCATTTGTAAATGCAGAGGAATGATAGATTTTTATTTGAATGTCACAAGTGCATGTTCTCAAGATTAAGGCTGGTAGCTTGGACTTTTTTCCAATGTTGGGAGAGCAGCAGATAAATCTAATTTCTCCATAAGTCTTTATGAAATGAAAAGTTTGCCAGAACTGGTGGCTTTTCTCTGTGCTGTTGTAGAAGCCTTTGCTCAAAGGAGAGGACTAATCTTTCAAGGTGCCCTTACCCTTCCTCTTTCTTATGAGAGTGAATACTTGCTTGCTAAATCCTTCTGACTCTTAAAATAACTTACTCTTGGCTCGGCTGTGTTTTCTGCCCACTTGTAGTTGCTTTGCATTTGGGTAGTTATTTACAGTAGCAGATGCCGATTCCAGATTTCTCCAAGAGTTCAATACTTGCGTAAGTGGTGTTTTACCATTGCACAGCTTTCTATAGAAGTTGCTGCCCCTTAAAATGAACTGGTTTATACCACACGATGAACCTGCGAGTGTTGGGATGACTCTCCAGAGAGTTCCTTCTGTGATCTGTGTTTCTATCACCCAGTGGCCTCTCCTAGGCCTGAATGCTGTACTGCTGTCAGCAAGAAGGTGGGCTGGTGGGTGACAGAGGCTGTGCAGAGCACTCCGCTCTTGGGTTTGTGCAACCTGCCATCACACCAAAAGCCTCTGTGCTGGGCAGAGCTGCCCACTGCTCTCAGCAGTGCTGCTGGACAAAGCCAGGGAACACTCTGACAGCTGATGCTTGATTCCAAAGCATAAGAAGTCTCTTGGCATGCTTTCTAGCATATCCATACTTTGTATTTCCCTTGGTAATTGGGAGGGGGTACACAGAAACTTTCTCCTGCTGCAGCAGGAGGGTAGCTTAGGAGATGTTTGGGTAATATATAGGGTTTTTTTGCAAGAGTAAAAAGGAAGGAGGAGCTTTTTCCCTTTATTTTGATACTTGTGCACAGGACTTTTGGCTCATTTCTAAATGTGTGATGCCTCCAGAGGTGCGTCTCAGGTGCTAATTCTGGGTTTGGAGAGTTTCTGAACTAGAATTACTTACAAAACCTTCACTGGGGTATGCTTGGGGGCAGGAAAACCTGGCTTGTCTGAATGCAGGTGCATGTTTCTTTATGTGCTGAAAAAGAACTGGAGAATGCCTGCACTGACTGCCCTGTGCTTTTCCCTTGGCAGATGATGCCTTCATCAACCCCCATCTCCAGAGGATTTTTGAGCGTGTACGTCAGAGTGCTGACTTCATGCCGATAAAGCAGATGATGGTGAGGACTATTCCTTCTTGCTTATCAGGGGAGGAGGGACAATAACAGAATAAGTGTCACCTCTGACATACCCTAGTAAGGGAGGTGGATGGGGATTTTTAAGAGTTTTCTTTCAATAATGCTGCATATTTTCAATTGTGGCTAACTTCTGACTCCTTCTTTCAATTATGTGCTGCCTTTTCTCTCCAAAACCTTTAAACTCAGCTCTAGACAGAGGGGAAAAATGCAGGGTCCTGAGACTGCATTCAGACAGGACCTGAAACACAATGTCCTGAGACTATGCCGATGGAACAGGGTGTTGCATGCAAATATGATAATAGGGTTTTGTTGAATGTAGCCTCCTCTTCTGTTTCCTCTCTCTTGTCTTTCTCATGGGTGTTAAGTCAGTGTCTAGAAGTGCCTACATCCCATTTTAGAAATAGACTTATAAGGCTTAGTCTGATGGAAAATTAACAGCAACTTTGTCCGTCCTTTTTGGGTTAAATCTAACCCACCTTCAAGAAGAGCCAGAATGAAGCAAACTAAGTTTGCTTTCCCCAATGTACATGTTCTCTCTTTCTCTCTACTTCCCTCTGTAAATTAAGATGTGAAGGGTGATGCAAAAGGAATTGCCAGCACTACCTGTTTTCTGAAAGACACTGAGCAGAGCCAGAACTTAAATATGGCAGTCTGGCAGTGTAGCAAAAAAAAGCTGTTAAAGCAGGCTGTGATGTTTAATTGTCAATATTGCCTTAAAGAGAATCACTCTTGCATGCCTGGATTGCTTCTTTTCAGCTTGGCAGCATGGTGAAAGAGGAGAAGTATCTAACTATGTGCTCATTTTCTGGAAGACACCAAGTGGCACCAAAAAGGGGACTTTTGCACTGCTAAGGCAGCAGTGTTTGTGCTCAAGACCTGTGCTTTACACCAGAGCAACAGAGCCTCACACAGATCTGAGCAGCATGTTTAGTGCTGGGGGAGTACTGCTGGCTGGACCACTCCTCGTGATGGTGTGCAGTAAGGAGGAAGGGAGGACAATCTAGAAAGCAGGGTACAGGCACTCAGAACTGCTACAGGCTGTGTGAGTCACCTTAGAGGAACGTCATTTCCAACAGGGAAAATCTTAAATTTTTTGTTTCCCATACCCTGATGCTTTCTTTTTATTTGTAGAAAACTCTGAACAATGATCTTGGCCCCAACTGGAGGGATAAACTGGAGTCCTTTGAAGAACGCCCATTTGCTGCTGCTTCAATTGGTCAGGTTCACCTGGCACGTTTGAAAAATGGCAAAGAAGTTGCCATGAAAATCCAGGTGAGTTTTACAGACCAGCCTTGGCTGTGCCTCATAGAAGGTCAGGGGAGCTGCATAAGTATGTATACTGTTAGCCAGATAAGAAACATTTTAATACAAGTGAAAATTTGGGTCCAACAATATCTTGCCTAGTGCAAGCAGAGGGGAAAGACAGAAAAGGTTTTGTAGCTTGAGCCAGTCTCTGACTCCGGATGAGTGGGAGATGTCTCATAGGTATACCTCTGCAGCCTGGGGATAACAGTGGTGAGGGATTGCTTGTACTTTTAGGGCTGTATGCGAGGGTCCTACCTGCTCCACAGGTCAGTCCCCTCTCTGGGATGTGCACATGCCACATGCCCCCTTTCTGGCCACAGCCCAAAGGTTAAAGAATTTTTAAGTGACATGCAGGCACTAACTGTTGAGCAGTGGCAGTCTGATGATGCAGGAGGGTATTCCTGAACTCTCACTAAAGCTGTCAGCAACTTCAAGCAGGCATTTCTAACAGAATTAAGTTCTAGAGCTGAAACTCTTTGTACAGCATGGTTTATAATCCAAAGGAGTGAGGTCCCTTGCTTACTGAGCAGGGTCCTGCGGAAAGCTGGTCATCTAGTTGGTCTTTTTTTGTAAAGTGGGGACACTTTAGAAACAACATGGATGGGGACTGGTGTTGTCTTCTTAAGCCATTTGTGTCCAAAGTACTCTCTGAAGTTAGGCCAAGGTAATAGCAACAGAAAGCTAACCCTGTGGCATCAGCACACATTCTGCTCCACAGCAGTGTAGGCTGGTTCCCTTGTAGACAGACAAAGTGAGAACAGAAGAAGGCACCTTTGCCAGGCCTGGGCTGGGGCCTCACCGCTTGCCCTGCTGCCGCTGTGTGTGAAACACTCTGGGGCTGTCAGTGGAATGTTCTTTTGGCTGTGGTAAGGAAGTGACTGACTGCCATAGCTGTTGTGGGAATTGTGTGTTTGAGAACCTTTCATGTGTTGGAAGAGTCCCTGTCAGAGGATCTGAATAAGCTGTTCTGGTTGCAAGCTGCATCTTAGCCTGTCTATCTGTCCCATTTTAGATGCTGGGCTTGAAATAAGCTTTCAGAGGAGGGCTGTGTGGCTCAGGTATGCCCTGGTTCATTACCAGGCTATAGGTGGCTGTGTTGTGGGGGTCAGTGGATGTTGAGCTGGAAGGCGTTTTTATCTTGCTCATCAACACTGTGCTCTCCCATTCTGTCCTGCAGTACCCCGGAGTCGCCCAGAGCATCAACAGTGATGTTAACAACCTGATGACTGTCCTGAGCATGAGCAATATTCTCCCTGAAGGTAAAGACAGAGACCCTTGGCAGGCTCTGTGTCCCTGCTGGCACATGTTGAGTTCTGCCAACCCCTTACGAGCAGTGCATTGCATTCCTTTTCTCCATAGACTGGAGGAAGGAAACAGCCTTGAGGAAACAGTGAAAAGGACTTAAGAATTGCTAAGTCTGCCCAGGAGCAGATCTTCTGCAGAAAGCAGGAGAGGTAGTAGATGTGGGCAGTGGGTGCAGGGCCAACTTGGGGAGCAATGCTCTGCTCCCCTCTCCTGCAGCAGAGCTGCCACTGCCTTTGCTGGGCATGTACCTGCTCCAGTGTCCACTCAGTGGGGTGGGAACTGCACCCATGTTGTTTTTTCCTGGCCATGTATATGCATGCACCTGCCAGAGTAATGTGCACTTGTCTCTCTGTGCTCTTCATAGTGGAGGACCCATATGGACTCCTGGCAAAGTATAAAGTGCCTGGGTATACTCACTTTTGATGGCTTCCTAGGCACGAAGCGTGGGCAAACTTGCCTTGTTCCTGTTATTTCCTGATACATTTCGCAGAACTCATTCTTCTCCATGTTTGCTGTAGCCCTCCATGCCTACCATTTTCTGTTCTTCCCAGTCAGAGTTGTAGTCAGGTGGAGAACTGTCAGACTTGGAGCTTGCTTGGTGTCCCAGCACACAGATAAGTCCCTTTTCCCACAGGGATGTGGCATTCTTTTTCCAAATACCTGTCTGCAGCAGCTGTAAATCTTAGTGGGACTGTACAAATACTGCTTTAAAATCAGGCCGGGTGCTGACAAAATCTGGGACTGTTTTCTGTGGTGGCTGGGCAGGGCCCTGCACAGGCTGCTGCAGTCCCAGCCGTGTCTGGCCCCAGAGTAGATCAGTTTTCCAGCTCCAAGACTGAGAAGACTGGACTTGGCAACTCAGGCCCTGGCTTTGTGCTGCTGCAGTTCACAGCCTTAGTCCTGCTGACTGCTTCAGGCTGGCAGTGCCTGCTCCCAGTTGTAGGCAGATATGGTTTGGAGCTTTTTTTGCTACTTTTACCCAGGCTAGCGTTTGGGTGCTTCTACTCCTTGGTGTGTGTCTCTGCACAGCCGTGCCAATACCAGGAACAGACAGCTTGGGCTGTGGGGTGGGAGCTGGGGAGGATGGAGCCCAGCTGTACAAGAGTGGTGTGGATGTACCTTGATTTAGGAGCAGCTGCGTAGCTTGGGATTACCTGCAGAACCTGTATCTAGTTGGAAATACTCTTTGGCTCTCTGGGGCCTCTTGTACTCTTCAGCTCGGAGTTGGCTGGATAGCAGGTTGCTCCTCAGCTGCAGCTCTGCAAAGCTTAGCCTGAGGCTGTCCTTTTTTTCTAAGCCTATGCTCTTCTCTGCTGTTTGACTTTCAGGTTTGTTCCCTGAACATTTGATTGAAGTCCTGAGCAGAGAGCTGGCCCTGGAGTGTGACTACCAGAGAGAGGCTGACTGCGCAAGGAAATTCCAGTAGGTTCACAGCACTGCCTTCAACCCCTCCTGCCTCTGTACGTGCGTGTGAAACGCAGGAGAGGTTGCTTAACTTCAGGGACAGCAGGGAGATGGATGCTGTGCCCTGGGATGTAGCAGAGGGGAAGGGTGGTGTGTGTTTGTGACCTTAGCTGTCCCCTAGAATTACCACCTTGTCTCAGCCAGGCATGTTTTCAGTCAGCTGAAACGTGATAGCATATCCTCTCTCCTTCAGTGCGAGCTTGTCCTTTTTGCCACGTGTGAAGGTACTGCAGTAACCCTTGAGGCCGGGTCACAGTGCTGTTCTGTGTACTCTTATGTCAGCCTGTTATAAGCTTCTCCCACCCTTTAGGAGGTTTTTCAGTTCAGCTCTCTGACATCAATTAATGCCACCAGCACTGCTGGCTCCTTTGGCTTGCTGTAGCAGTGAGGTCCAGATTATTTTTACACGAAAGCTGGATTAGGGAGAGCGGCTGGAGGCTGGGTGCCCCTCTTGCCCCTCTGCAGAACTGCCGCTGTGGCATCGCTCCCCTTGGAAAAGGCCCACTTCTTCCATGTGTGTAGTCTGGCCCTGAAGCCAAGTGGGTTGAGCAAAAGAGCCCAGTGCCCCTTGATGGGGGCTCCAGCTTGGAGCCCTCCTAATGTCACTGCTGTGGCAGGAGATGTGATCTCAGAAGCCAGCAGCAGCTGAAAGTCACTGGCCTGGTTTCTGGTCACTTGATCCCTACTGTAACTGCTGAGGAGAACATCTGGCAGCCTCAGCCAGGGTGTGGGGAGAGGTTGCGTGAAGGGGCTGTGTGCCGCATGAGGTGTTGCGGAGGGGCCTATCTGTTCTCAGGGCTCCTAACCTTCTCCTCTTCTTTATCCCCTAGGGAGCTGCTGAAGGACCACCCCTTCTTTTATGTCCCAGGAATAGTGGATGAGCTGTGCAGCAAGCATGTCTTGACCACAGAGCTGGTGCCTGGCTTCCCCTTGGATCAAGCTGTAGGACTGAGCCAGGAGATTCGAAATGAGGTACTGTGGGGTGGTCTTGGTTCTCCCCTGGCTCAGAGCAGCATGCTCGGCTTGCCTGGTGACCGATAGACCAGGGCAGGCTTTGTGGAAGGGCAAACCCTGAGCGGTGCAAAGCAGGGCTGGAGTTGGGGCCTGTCTGGAGCCTCTCTAAGATTTCTATGTAGGGAATTTGGCAGTGATGGTGGAGTGTCCTCAGGCTGGTCTAGGCCTTGCAGGTGCCAGCGTTCAGCAGGGATGGTGTGGAGGAGTGAATGGCAATGGTGGCTGAAGGTGAGGTAGCCTAGCTGTGTAACTCTTAGATGCCCTGTTTCTCTGACAGCCTTAAGATTGGGAGGGATTGACAGCTAGGGGAGAGGGGTCTTGTTTTGCAGCTGCTCTTTGGGGCAGGAGTGCAGTATCCTCTCCTGCCCTTGTGCAAGCATTTAGGTGTCATCTCCTCCTGCGGGACTGACCTGTGCTGCACTGGGCTGCTGGAAAAGTACCTCTTGGTAAACAGGAGGGGGGATGTGGGGATGGGTAGGCGGTGGTGCTGAATATAGCAAGGGATTGGAGTGCTGTGGTGGGACAAGCAGCTGCTCTAGTAGCAGAAATAACTGTCCTGGTATTTGGATTTTTAATTTTTTTTTTGTCTTGGTGTGAGCTGTCAGCTGTTAGCAGGTCACTGGGGAAGAGGGCAGAGTATGTTCCTCTAGATAAACAGATCTCAGTGCCATACTGGACTTGGAGCTATGCCAGAGCTGGCTCCCTGTGACCCCTGAGCTGTTTGTTCTTAGGGCTTGTCCTCTCTGAGCTGCTGTATCATCAGGGCTACTTTTAAAAGGCTGTGAGGTGGTTTGTTGCTGCAGGAGCAGCCCTTCTTTCCTATAAGTGACTGGCCTGTCTGACCCACAGCCTTCTGACACAAATGGCAGTGTCCTGTAGCAGGGTCTGGCTTGCATTTGGTGCTCTTCTCCCTCCCTCTTGGAGATGGTGTTTCACTCAGTTTTGCTGAAGAGGGGCAGAATGAGGCTGGTAGTTCTTCTGCTAAACAGGCTCCAGCTTAAATACCCTCACAGAAAAGCTCTGCTGTAGCCTGTAATATAGCAGTGGGCTCTTCAGGCACTGCTACTCTTGCTTCCCCCTTGCCTGTCAGTTCCAAGGTGTGGGTCTGCCGCTCCTCCCTCAAGCTGGGTCAGTGCTGAGCCCAGCAGAAGACTTTGTTGAGAAGTACATGGTGAGTGTGTGTATCTAGTGAAGACCTCTTTCAGTAATGGTTTGGACCTAGCTCCATATATTGTTTGGCAGCTTTAGAGGAGGAGACTCTCCTCTAGCTTCTTTGGGCCTTTATCGTAAAACTGCCCTGGAACTGCATCTCCTTTCCCGTGAGCTGCGTTGTCTTTGTTTTGGCTAGGGTCCTGCAGGACCTTCCACCAGGGTAGGCTAGCTTCTGGATCCCTCTTTGCACTGTGAAGATGTTCCTTTACTCACAAAGCAACAACCAAGTGCGTAGTCAAAGCTGGGCAGGTAAAAGGCAGGACCAGGACACAAGTAACACATGCAGTTGGATGACCCCTGGAGCCTGCTGTTCTCAGCTGCCAGGTACAGGGTAGCAGCCTCTGTGCAGGCACATCTTGAGGCTGATAAGAACTACAGCTCAGGCTGATGTAAAACTTGCATGGCATCTGTGCTGGCTGCTAAGGATGTCCCTTGGCAGGTGTGGGCTGGGAGTTGCTGAGGCTCCCTCTCACTTCTTCAGGAGTTTTGCAGCATGTAGCAGATAGTTCCTGCCAGCATGGTGATGTGCTCCCTGTGTGCTACTGCCTGCTGTAAATTACACCTGTGAGAAGGGCTTACTACCCTCTTGACTTGCTTCTTTCTCCCCTTGCTTTTCAAGATCTGTCACAACATCCTGGTCCTGTGTCTGCGTGAGCTGTTTGAGTTCAAGTACATGCAGACTGACCCGAACTGGTCAAACTTCTTCTACGACCCGCAGTCGCACAAGGTAAGCCCAAGCAGCTGCTGTTCTGCCTGTACAAGGGCTGGTTTTCACCAGCTTTTGATTATTCCCCACTCCCAGAGCTTAATGAGCCCTTACTGAGATTCTCTCAAATTCCTGTCCTTGAGCCTTGGGCAGGTAGGATAGTGAAATCTGTCCCTTTGCCACTTGTTGTCACTTGGTCTGGGTAGGAGAGCAGGGCTTCTGTAACCCTGGCTGTCTGCCTATCTTTGGCCTTAGATCCAGTCGCAGCTACTTGCTTTGCCTCAGGGTCTGTTTTGAAGCTGGTCAGTGGGAAGTTGCAACTGGCAGTGTTCTACCAGGGTGCTCCTGAGCCAAATCTCTGTAGTTGAATGCTCTTGTTTTGTGCTCTGCTGAAGATAAGGGTGCCTGGAGAAGCAATTGCAGATGTCCTGCTTGTTGGTTTGGCTGCTTGCTTGTGCTCTGCAGGTCAGATGGAATTGCTTGTTCATCCCTGAGGTCGATGTTGGAACGTGCTGCTCTGTCCCCACACAGAAAGCCTGAGTGGAGTTATCAGCTGAGCAGATGTGACAATGTGAACACAGGCCATACCTCCTCTGCCATGTAGTAGCGCAAATGCTTGTGCTGCTGTCGGGGAATAAAGGAGATAGATAGGTTGAAGCTGAGTTGCAGTGGAAAGGCTCTCCAGCCAGCTGACTTTCCTGAAGACAGCAGGAGTCTTTTTAAGGTCAGGCTCCACTTGAGGGGTTGACACTGCAATAGAGATGGGTTTGTCTATTTCCAGGTGGCCCTGCTGGACTTTGGAGCAACACGAGGGTTTGATGAGAAGTTCACAGATGTCTACATAGAGGTGAGGACTTGCACTGTGTCCTAGAGTGCCGCACTGCGGGTCTTAGAGTGTTTTCAAAATTCTGCTTCTTTCTTAGCTGTATCACTTTGTACTTCAATCCACTTTGGGTGTGGAGGGAAACAGGGCTGGAGGCAAGAGAGAGATCTCTCTTCCTGTTTCATCCCTACCATAGCCTTCTGCATGTCTGCTGCAAGACTCTGGCTACCCGAGCTTGGATGTTTAAATTGCACGACAAATATGGAGAACTGTAATATTGCTTACGGGGAGACTCAGGCAGCGGAGCACTCAGAATTCAGTGATTTTTTTTTTTTTAACATGAGGGTATGCATGAATTGCTTGTTCTGTTCACTGTCTCTTCCTGTGATTTCTAACTCGTTTACAGACTGATAAATTTATGTGAAGTTATATTGTGCTTCCTTGGTGATTCACCATGTTCTGCACTTGATAAATGGAGCTGCAGGGGCCAGCAGACATCACTTAAAGCTTTTCACAGTTGGCTCATAATTTTATTGGGGGAGGAGCTGATTGATTTGTGAAGCTTTTCTGATGTCAGTTATGTTCTCTGGGCTATATGTAGCCCTTCTGGGAAGAGCACTGGAGAGCCAGCAGCTGTGCCTTTTTGCCAGTAGCTCTGAAACTGGCTAACATGCAGACCCCTGAAGATGAGGGCAGAGGCAAGGAAGTGAGCAGGCAGCATGTGTACCTGTAGCCTATGTAGTAGTTGTGTACTCAAAACATTTTTCAGTCATGCCCTAGCTCTCCTGAAAATGTTCCTCCTATTCAGGTAATCAAGGCAGCTGCTGACATGGACAGAGAGAGAGTACTGAAGAAGTCCATCGAAATGAAATTCCTCACTGGCTATGAAGTCAAGGTATGGAGCAGAAGGATCTGCTTTTAGTGTTGGCCACCGATAAGTTTGTTGTGGGCCTGTGGACTTCCCCAGATTTCTTGATGTGGTAAAAGCCAATGTTGGTCTGAAAGCCCTGTTGATGAGGAGGAGGGTGAAGGGCAAAAAAGGTTTTAGCTTTTGTTCTCTCACGTCCTTTTGGTCAGAGTGGGAGCAGCAACGATGATACAGCCAGCCCCAAACCCACTGTCACTCCCCCAGCAAGTGGTGATGACTGCTGAAGTTTCATGACCGGGCACATGGCCTTCTGGAAGGTTTAGTTGCTTGAAACTATATTAACCAAATGTTCATCAGCCTGTTGGGGGCTGGAGGTTACTTTTGCTGTGAGTTTGACTAGGTATTTCTGCTGAGCTGCTGCTGTTGGCACTAGCATTTCCTCTTTTCCTCCCTGGTGGTGAAGATGGCTAGCGATGTTACTTATGCCTCTTTCCTTTCGGGCAGGAAATGGAAGATGCCCACTTAAATGCTGTCCTCATCCTGGGAGAGGCTTTTGCGTCTGAGGAACCTTTTGATTTCGGCAACCAAAGCACCACTGAAAAGATCCATGGTTTAATCCCAGTCATGCTGAAGCATCGGCTTATCCCTCCGCCAGAGGAGACGTACTCTCTTCATCGGAAGATGGGGGGCTCTTTCCTTATCTGCACCAAACTGAAGGCCAAAATTCCCTGCAAAAACATGTTCCAAGAGGCATATAGCAACTATTGGAGCAGTAGGGGCAAGAAGCCAGAGGAGTAGTAAGAATGAACAAACATGTCTTGTTCTGAGGGCACAGTTCATCTGAGCCTTGCAGAGAGCGTTTTAGCCTCCCATGTGTTGCACCCCAGCTCTCCATCCTCTTGAGATGCAGCAGCCTGTGCCCTGGAAGCCAAGTGTGTGTTTCACAAGGACAAAGCTGTTCTTTCATGCTGTGTCTGTCCTACACTGACTGCCAGTACAGTCTGCAGCTTGCAGGAAACTATCTTCTTGAGTGCTTCTGTACTGTTTCGAGGCACCAGCCGACTACCCTGAATGCATTTTTAACATTGTGATGGTGGCTGCATATTGATTGGGTTTTCTAACGCGTAGGGGAAGGAAGACAAGAGCAGAATTTAATATTGAAACCTGTTTGTAATTCTCCAAAAATATTTTTTTTTTTAAAACTCTTCCCTCTTTCATGCTAAGGTGAAATTAAAGTAGTTTTCATACTGTGAATTACAGAATGAAATACTAAGGTGGACCCTACCACTGACACATTCAGCACCTTCCCCCCATTTTTGTAAGTCAGTCAGACAGTCAAGTGGTGGCAGTCTAAGAACCCTCCTGGATTTTACTGACACTGATGTAATGCAAGGGTGGGGGGGTGTGTGTACATAGGATGAAGTTTTATGCTTTCTGCCTCTTCCTGGCTTGCAAGCTAAACATAGGAAATATTTTAAAAATCTGGGAACTGAGTGCCAATCTTTTAAACACACATGTACACTCACACACCCCATCTCAGTTCGGGGAGTCAAATACGTAATCAACAGAGCTATATCGGAGCACAAATAGTGGGATTCTTCACTGTCTGATAGGTATCAGCTTTCCTGAGGGCAAGTTAGATAAGCTACACCTCTGACACCAATTGCTTGCTGGACTTCTAACCAAGAACCTAGTCTGTCTGTGTTTCTGTAATGCACAACTAACTTACGGCAAGGCAGACAAACATGTAATGTCTCTCATGAGCATTTCATGCTTTTGCTGAAATGTCACACATTTAAAACCAGACGCACAGTTTTAAACTATTGGAGTCAAGGTAGGAAATTTACTTCCTTAGATTTTTGTACAAAGCCTGTACCTGTACGACTTCCTGATTTCAATAAAAAAGTGCTTGTGCGGTGGGCCTTCTGCCTGCAGTTTTTTCATCTTCTGGGGCGGTGATGAGTAGCCAAGAGAACCATGCCCTGTTCTGTGGGATAAACAGGAGCTGAGCAGAAGCAGCTTCCAAGTCTGCTCTTTGAGCAAACAACTGCAACAAGAATCACTACTACCCTTGTAAAGCCATCTATCTACGGCCTATTTATTCCTTCATCTTTCCATTGCAGCTGTGTCACTAGTGCTAACAGTGATGGTGACAAGTTTACCAGGAGCCAGAGGGACATCAGCCTGAACATCTGTCTGACCATGAAAATCCCTGGTAATTGACTTGTTTTCTTGTTTTCCTTTTTGGTTTAATCACTCTGTTACCAGTCTCCTGGACACAGGTCTTTTTTCCTTTCCTCCATTTGTGAAGAAAGAGGGGCTGTTGGAGTTGATGCTTACCTGGTACTAGTAAGGCAGATGATGTGCTTATTTTGCAAGTGCCAGGTATTTAGCAGTAAACTCAGCTTGTCCTACTCAGTTAACACAGCCCAGGAATGCAGAGCTTGTATGATCTTATACTTCAGTACATAAGAAATCCTGACTGCTGCCACTTCCAGAGGTAAAGAACAGGTAAGTAACTAAGTAAGTAAATAAATGGTCTCTCTCATGGAGGGATCTTTGAGAAAGAGGAAGACAGGTTATTGTATTCCTTTGCTCCAAGATCATAAACATACAAACTGCTTCATTTAAGTCTTGGTTGAGAAAGATCCAGTACTAAACTAAAAGTACTCCTCAGGTTATTCCTAACGCTTGAGAAGAGTCAACTGCTGTTCAGTGAAGTAAGAGTTTGGCATTAAGCTGTTTAACTTTATACACTAACAGAGTAACTAACTAACTTTCCTTCTTGTTTTGGGTTCTGAGACACAGTGTTTAGTTTTTCACCTTTGGATCTAGACCTTGCAGCTGTAAAAACAGTAGAATTGTTTGTTATAAATGCTTATGTTAAAGGCTAAAAAGCAAAGTATAAAAAAAAAGACAAGGGAATTGGATTAGGTGAGCTTCAGAGCAAAATCTCTAACACTGAAGATTCAGAGCCAGTATATTCGGAGAACTTGCAAAGAATGCAAAATAACTTGATACAGCATTACACTTCACTTTTCCAATAAGCACAGCTAGGTGAGATGATTGGTATGTGCTTGTTCATGTGACCACAGATCTTTTGTACACCATGCTGGGGCATAACTAAGTGTTTAATTCTCAGTAAACATTTTCCTTCCCTGGGGAGACAGCATGTTTAAGAATAACATCAGCTGAGCAATGGGGTGGTTTTGCATTTGCCTAAAAGGTAGCAACTAGCAGAATGTAAGAAAGATGTTACTTTTTTTAGGAGAGTTAATTAGAGCTCAGTCCCTCATTTTCCTAGCCTTTTGTCTCTGTTGTCAAGGTGTTAATTTCTACAGTTTTGTTGAGAGATACCAACAGCTGTGGAGAAAAAGTGAGCCAGAAACACTGTGCTCTGGCTTCAAGGCAAGTAAGTCATGACATTTTACAGGCAGCAAGAACACCTGATCACTGCTGGTTGCTCTGTACCAGCTTAGTGCCTTTGCTTAAACTACACAGGTAGGTTGAGGATATGAACACTTCTCTACTGCAGCAAGCTTCTGCATTCTGGAAAAATCCTCTTGCAGAAAACAGTTCTTTGTTCCCCAGGGCAAGCTGGAGGTTAAATCTGCTTCTGTGAGGACTGGGATTTTCCATTCTGAAGTATCAAGATTCAGCCTACATGTAGTAGGGGTGATGTTCATACCTTCCTTTAGTCAGCTTGGGTACTCTGTCAGAACAGAAAGTGAATGCTGAGGAGCTGAACAGAAAGCCTAACGTGCAGTTCACTTTCTGCTTTTCTAATGTCCCATTCCCTTGACAATAGAAGGCCCGTTTCCCAAGACCTTCACAGCTGTGATGGTGCGACTGGAACTCGGGGAAATCAAAAATATAACAGTGATTGTAAAAGAAGTCAGAGCACAGGAAACAGATGGTATTTCACAGAGCTACAGCAGCTAGCAGAGATGTGTGGTGGCCTAGATGGGATAAGACCACAGGCTTCAATCTACATGAACTAGAGCAGGGGGATGAGACTGAAGGTGAAAGACAAGGTCAGAACTTTTGGTGGAGAAAGGTAGCCTGTGGCCATTGCTGGCAACAACAGGACCAGTAAGAGTCTAGTCCTGTATTCTTGCTGGGGTGGGGGGTGGGGTGTGACTGAAGCACATTTACCAACAGGCAAGGGTACAGAGAAAATCCTAGGCTGACTTATGAGGAACTGGTGGGAGATGTGAAAGAGTCAGGGCATATGCAAGACTTTGCAGGTATTTTAAGATGCATGAAAGTCAATTTGATGCTGGTAGCTCAGAAACAAGTAAGAAGCCAGTGTCTAACACAAGAGCAGCTGAAACAGTTGATATGTAACTAAATGAAGGAGGAACCTCAGAAACAATGACTACAAATACCGACAAAAAACAGATGACCTAAGAAAAAAGTCAGGAGAACTGTAGTTGAAGACATTCACTATACCAGAGTAGAAGGTGGCTTGGAATTTTCAAAAAGGTTCCGGTAATTTTTTTCTGAAAGTTGAGAGCTACATTGATTTTTCTCATATATTCCTCCTCTTCCCACTGTGTACTTGTGTAGATGTGTTACAACATGCTGGTTTTATCTTCTGCAAGAACAGTTACTCCCCTTTCCATTTCCTCCTCCTCAAAGCTTAACATGGGGAGGTGGGAAAAAAAAGACAAAACATCTGCATTTCTAACAGTTCCCTGTTTTATTGCAGTACATCAAAGTAGGTTAATATTAAGTGTGTTACCAACATAAAATATTGGTGGTAAGTCATTTTTACATTGTTGACTTTCCACCTTAAATATTTCTGTGCAAAAGAATCTACATCATTGTTCTGTAGCAGAGAATCTCTTACAATGTCCCCTACAATGTTGAGGGCATTAAACAGTGAGAAGAGGCAAAAAGCAGAATCTTTCCCCCACACGCACACTTGTCAGCTTTTATACTCTAAAACAAAAAAGTGATTACATCTATGCCATGCAAAACTGTACAATAATATTACAATGAAAAACCTAAAAAACATATTTTAAAAATAAATGATATGAAACTGTCATACATAAAAAGGCAGGTATAATTGTTCTGAAATACCAACACTGGTTTGTTTGTGGATTTCTTCCCTGTGGATGAGACTTTCTTAAATGCAGAATGAAAATAAGTTGTACTGAGCTGCAGCTGGAATGAAAGACAAAGTAGAGTTAGAATTTAGGCTGGAAAGCCTGCAGCAGAGTGGCCTCTGGGGTTGTCTATCCAATACCATGTGAACACAAAGCACACGGAAGGGTGCCAAAAGTTGTCCCATTTCCTCCATGGAACTGACTCCTATTAACAAAAAACCCACAGCAGAAGCTACTACTACTATGTGCCACTTACTTTGATTTTCAGGCTAAGGCTCAGGAGGTGTGGGTACTTGCACTGCAATAAATTTTACCCTTAATGTAAAGTCACTTAAAATTAAACAGTATGCATAAAATGCCAAAAGCAGCCCAACAACTTTCTTCCACCCAAGAGCATGTTTTTCCTGTCATTCAAGGTCTGGCCATGCAAGACACATATGCTGCTGGAATCTGTTTCTATGTTAATACTCCAAGAACTGCTTTGTTTTGAAAGGCTGACACACTTTGCGAACCAGTTGTTAGGTACAGTTTAACTACGTTTCTATAGCTACGCTATGCTTTTTGGACTTTTTTTTGGTATGACAAGACCCTTAACTTCCCTCTGCCGTATACCTGAGAATAACACACCTGGCCTGTAATTTTATCAGAATCAAATCAGAGAGAGAACATTCCTGACTCAGTTTTGAAACTCCTTAAAATGGGCAAAATGCACATTCGTAACACGCCACAGCAACTAACCGAGAGGAAAAGCAGCAATTACTTCACCACAGCCCCAGGAATGCATTGGGTTTTTTAAACCACCAGCTGTCTTCTACAGGTCAAAGGCAATAGGGAAGAGAGTACTATAACCCTGCTTTTGGGTTTATGAAATGTGGAAGGAAGCCACATTATCTGTGTGCGTGCACGTGCAGGGGAAAACTATTTACCAAACTTTTTTCATTCTATAACCTGGAGTCCTTAGTAGCTGCCTGAATCTGTTCAGATCCTTTGTTGCCATCAAAAGAGAAAAAACAAAAAGCAAAACCTCAACAACCCATATGTTTAAGCTGTGTCAAAAATGCAAACACCTTCAGTCTCAGCCAAAAGGAAAAAATCAGCTAGATAGATAGATACATACTTGTGTACAGAGAACATATGCTACAGTCACAAATTCAGTGGGAGGTTTTAAGCTCCCTGAACAAAATGCAACCCTCTAACTGTCAAGGTGAAGCAATGCTACAGTGCAGAGTAGCAAACATCAAACCTTAAAAGACAACTGTCTTTGAGATACCAGTCAAGAGTCTTACAGTTCAAATGACCAAGTTACTTTTCCTAGCCCAATGAGTATTGAAAAAGCTCAGCTACAGTATGCATATGTTTTCGGTGTCCATCCCAACAAAAAAAGATGAGTGTGGTTTAAAATTGAGTGTATAATCAAATGGTCCCCAAATATATAAAACTATTCAAGTCCTAGGACAATTTTTCTCTTTTCAAATAAGTGATGTGGTCATTTGCTTTTCAACTGAGAGAACAGTTGCTGTTTCTCTTTTGAACAGATGCGTATAAAAATGCACAGTACCAAACTAATGATTAAATACAGTAATCCTAAAGGAGACTGCCAAGGCTTAGAAATTGTGGTGTATAAACAGTATAGGCCCGTGGAGCTCTCATCCTCTGGAGCTTGGTTTTTGTAACACAGCTGACCTACGCTCTGCCTGAAAATGACAGTTTTTGATATTAATAGATTGCAGGCACCGTAACAGAGTAAACACAGGGGTTTACTCCATTTAATTGTTTGGTGTGTCGTGGTTCTTTGGGTTCCATTTTCAGATAGAGCATTAGCTCAACTGCAAAAAAAAAAAAAAAATCCACAAAAAAGACCCTGTGATCCTCTCTCAGGGGACTGTCACGCAGGCTGCGCTATCTTAAATGACTGCTGTTTAAATGCCTTCTCTCAACATCAAAATAAGATTAATGTTTAAATACAACATACAGTAAATACAAAACTAGTCTGCAAAGGCTTTGAGAAGTGTGTGGACATGCTTCACCAAAAGGAGGGAATTGTGGGGAAAAAGCAGTGGCTATACTTGAAGCAATACGCAGCCTTTAAAAAGAAGCTGATGTGGAATTTTAATAATGCCAGTAAGGCCCCACCTATCTGTCCCTCAGAAAGACTGAAAACTATTCTGGGAGGAACTTAATTTCAAGTGCTTAGCTGTTTGCTAAAGCTTTCAATATTAAATGCCAGGCTTGCAAAAGTAGTAGCTTTGAAGTGAAAACAAACACCACAACCAGCTTGCTACTCTGAAAAACCCAAACAGGAGAGAGACAGGCTTTTGATATGATGGTTTCTAAAAAAAATTTCTCGAATCCCTGTTCCAAAGTAACATTGAATGAGCTTAAACTTGAACAAGCCTCTTGATTCTGAGTGAAAGAGAAATCTCACCTAGGAGACCCAGCGTGATTGAATAGATTATATGATCTGTATCTCATTCCCTATTTCACATTTAGATCATACCTGGAAATTACTGTACATGGTTTGATCTCACCTATAACTTCCATTAGGGAAGACAGAAACTGGAAAACTGCAAATGTCTGTGTGGGTGAAACACTATATACTGCTGACTGCAAGAATATGGAATGGTTTAATAAGAGCCATAACAAGTTTCCAAAACCCACAAAACCCAGTACTCTAAATACAAAAAGCCCTTACGTGTTTGAGTATGGTCATAGTATAAAGCCAGCAACAATACTACTGAGAAGAGAGGCTCATTTGAACACACTCCCAAATGAAAAACACATCTGCCTTGCTAACTGAAGAGACATCTTCCTCTTACCATCCATTTGTACATCAGTCTCTCACTTTATTCTGTTGACTGCATGACCAGCTTCAGCTTTTTATTTATTTTTGCAACTTCAGTGGGCTCTGTCTTCCACCGCAATACTTTCTGCCCTCCAACCTGACCTGCTATTGGAACCAAACAGCAGGTGAGCACATAGAAACAGCTGCAAATTGCACAAACCCACAGCACGGGTGAGGAGGGAGAGGAAAACCAACCTTGCCAGCATGGCATTTGTGGGTGATTAGGCATCTTCGACTACCACAGTGTGAACAGTGTGAGGTCAGTCTTCAGGTTTTTTGTTGCTACAGTGACAGCACAGCCAGGCATGGCTAGCTTCGGGCTAAGGGCACTCATTTGGCTGATGTGTATTAGCAACTAGTATTTGGTAACGACAGTAACAGTTTTCTGGTGAGAGATGGTCAAGGAGATGTGGAAGACTGCTCCCGTCCGAGTTAAACCTGGTCAAAGGCTGACCCAGGGAAACAGTTTTAATTGAACTCCCTTGCTGCCTTAAGGACCTCTACTGTAGCATGCTGTAAGGTTCCTCAGCTGCACAGCTAGCACACAAGAAACCAGGGCAGCCACCTGGCTGACTGGTGCCCTTGGTTGTCAGGGCAGGGGGCTGCTTTCCAATCGTTACCATTTTTGCAAAGGGTGGGGATTAACATGAAAGTAGGAATTACAGCTTCAGTTATGCTACTGCCAGAAGAAAAGTTGTGAAAGCACTGCAGGGACCTCTCCCGGCAGTGCACCGAGCGCTACGCAAAAGGAACATCTGTCCTGTGAAAGGTTTTAGGCCAGGCCTCCAAGTCCGTATATTACCGAGCATGAAAACAGGGACAACACAAATCTTAAATTAAAGGCTCTCTTAAATAAGCATCCATCTTCTGCTGCATACACAATGCTTTTTTTTTCTTTGAATATATACATACCTATTTTACTCTAACATCTGCGTATTTATTTAAACTCTGTACTGTAGTAAAATATGCATCATTTTAATTAATAAGGATTTGCTGGCGACAATCAGATTGACATTCAAACGTGGTGGCTGAAAGCTTTTATGTGCCTCTGACATACTGATCATTCCCCATGCAGGGGAAGGGGTCCGTGCTACTTTTGTACAGTACAATGAGCTATTGTATGAAAACGAAATCCCTCTGAATCTTCTCTGGTTGATACTGGTCTGGTCTACTTAAGCTACTTTTTGGTAAGTGGGAGTGGGATAAATATGTCTTTAAAAATGAAGCAGCTGTAACCACAAAAATGAAACCAATACTAATACAGATCTACAGCATCTGGTATTTACCAACACCCTAGCTTTGCTCATTTGCTGCTGTCAAATCTGGGGAAGGGAGGGTGAGGCAGTGCCAAATGGTGCTGAAGATGACCAGCTTTTACCTTCCTCTGTACCCCACTCCCAGATCACTTTCAGTCAGGGAATGGGGAGGGTTAGGATGATGAAGGTGAGAACTGGAACAAGTGAAGGGGGACGGCCATGGGGACAGCAAGCTGCTGTGATGTCAACTCTGAATGCTGAAGCAGTTCACGAGTCCCAACTCACGTGGTCAGAGCTCTCCAGGGAGAGGCTCTTGGTCTTGTGAGGAGAAACTGGGCTGGGAGGGCTGCTGAGGTTGGAGCTGTTTGATGCAGTAGAGTGTCTTGGAGAGTCAGAGTCCTGCAGCCCAAAGACACAGAAGAACACCAGTAAGTAACAGGATAGCAGGTTTTAGAGCAACTGAGGGTGTCTTGAGCAACAGGTGACTGGATGCAAAGGCCTCCATGTATTTTGCTTGCGTCCAAAAATACTGAGGAATTTCCCCCCCCTCCCCGCCCCGAATTTTCCTGGTCCAGGGAAACTTAAGAGTAAGCAGTCAGATCACCCTGCTTTCAGCAGGCATAACTGATGCTGACATACGGACACAGCACCCGTGGGATTCTTGCAGTCTGCATGTTGCTGAGGGCCTCTCGGTCAGCAGAGTGTGCAACTCCAGGTTGCTTGTGAAGCTACAGTGACTCATGCCTTTTCATAGATTATGATCTGAGATGCTTTTGCACTAAACTGAGAAATCTTTGTGGTACAGGCTTCATCAAGGCTACCTCTTCTATGTCACTCCCAGGATATTAATTCAAAACACCCTACCAAGTTACTCCAGCTGGATCTTCCAGAGTACTGTAGAATGCAACTATGAGCTTGAGTTTGGGTCAACAGTTGCCTTCCAGTTTCAAGTGGAAGGATATATTCAGTACTGTGAAAAGCCTGTGTGATCTCTAATTTTCTCACTCCTTGGTAAGAAAATAAGCTGGGGAAGTTCTGCTGGCCAACTTCAGATTGAACCCTCCCATGTAAAACATTCTTGGTTGGAGGGACTGAGTTTAGCACTGGGCAGGACTGCAGTCCTATCATAATGACAGTCTTGTTCTGCACAGAATATAAATTATTACATCCAATTTCTGCTCTAAATTAAATTATTATATGATAATTCTTAAATTACTTTGTTAACTTCAGGCACTCTGAGTACAAAATATCTCCTGTGAAATGGCTGCTAAAATAGCTTAAGAGTCTTTGCAGATAAAAAGGTCAGATTGACAGAAACCCATGACAGAATGTAACTTCCCCATCTCTATCACCACACTTAAATTTTCTCCTCTTTCTCCTGCCACTCACCTCCCGCTCATAGTCCCTTGTTGGTGCATCGCTGCCTTGGTCCAGGCCACCAGAGGATAAGGAACCATCTGAGGGTGACGCCATAGGCTGACGCTTTGCTCCATAGCTACCTCCCGAGAATTCCCTCCGCAAAGCACTGCCATTTTGTGCAGACGATCCTAAAACATGCGGAGGAATTAAACCATGTTACAGACACCCACTCAACGTACAGAAATCTGTTAGCTCTTTCTCTGGTTAGTTCTGTTTTCCTCCAGCATGTCCCAAGATGCTCCAGCTCATAGCTTGCAGGCTATGTGGGCTTTGATCTTGTCTGCTGACAGCTTCAGCTTTTCCTAGGGATTCTCCGGTCCCTCCCTTGGCATATTGGCATGAGCACACTTTTCCCCAGCACAGACCCAGTCACTATGTTTCTGACAAGGACAGCAGTTGTAGAAACCGGTGTGGTGGCAGCCTAGTTCCAGTGGCCTCTTTCCCAGGGAGTGGGTGGGTTGCACTGGCAGGTGCAGACTACAGCAGACATGCAGGCTTTCTGCAAGCAGTTGGCAATGTGCAGCAAACGCAGCATGTGCCATGGGAAGGGAAAAAAATGAGGTAAGGTGGGACACCAGTCTTGCCTCTATTTTCACGTTGTCCGTTATTTAGTCACTTGCCTGGTGTCAGCACAGGTCACTGTGCTCTCTGGCACACAAAGGCAGCAAGGTGTTTCCAATGCAATGCAACTCTTCCATACCAGCAGCCAGTTTTCTACTGCTTTCTCTCCGCACTAGCAGCAAGAGAGGCATCAAGAGTTGTATGTAGTTCAGCAACAGAATTAATAACCATGGAACTAGTGAACAACTTGCCACTGATTTAAGACACTTAAGCAGCAGCAAAGTAGTCCCAAGGGTAAGAATGTAATTTTAATTCTAACCTCAGTTTTAAAAATTTGACAGCTTACAAACGTGAGACTCTCAAAAGTGCTAGCTGCTTATTCATGTGCTCCTTTGAAAGCAAGATTAAAATACTGTGCTTGCCCTCAGTGGGAATACAATCAGCCATCACTTCTGAAAAATCTGCCTAGTGGCAGCACAGATAGAACCAAATGCATGTAGATTTCCCTAAAATACTTGTGCATAGACCCCCGAAGCAACACAGTTCTGTTTGCTTACGTGCTGCTAACCCGCTGCTTGCGCTCATCGATCGTCCTGGTTCTGTGCGGGATTTCGTGATCGATGGGATACTGACTGAGCCACTGAATACGGTCCGACTTTCCTGAGGCCGAAGATTCTGCAATGCAGACACAAACGACATGTTTACTTACTGACTGCTGGCTTAACCTTCGATGTTACGAAGGAAGACCCCAAAACACCTTAAAACCCCAACCTTACCAGAGCTGAATTATCTGGGCAGCAAGTCAGCAAAATTTGCAAAATAATATTCTGCAGTTCAGTGCAGAGACTGGAAGCACACGCAACGCGATAGTAAAGTGCCGAATTACATGGACATATGCAGACAACTGAAAAGAGTATGCCTAATAATTCAAGAATTTCCTTTAAAGGATGGTTTCCAAGCCTAAATTGCTATTGATATATTCAAATTATATCACATAATGCATTCTTTCTGAGCACAGGCTTCCAAGGATCTTATTAAAATTTCTCTCTTTGATGCCATCATTTGTGCCATGCATGTGTAACTTTATACAATAACCATGTTAATCCCTAATGCCTGCACAGTTATGAGCACATAGTGGATCAATCTGTATTTCATTACTTATGTAATTCCAAAGATATTAACAGCATTACTCCAGACCTACACCAGTTGAGCCAAAGTGAGAATCAGCCTCCTGTTTTCAGCCTGCTCAAAGAGGATGACCAGAGCACATGCTATTGTTTTTCTGTGTATTTTGATTACCGCTCCTGTTTTGCATCCTGAGAGTTCCAGTGTAATTTTCCAAATTGGCAAGTTACTGGACTGAAGTGGTCCTTTACTGAGAGGAAGAGATAAACACAGCTCCTCTACTTGGATTATGGTAGTTCCTTAAACATAAGTTGTCTTTAGAAGAAGGGAAGAGAGTACTTTGAAGTGAGTTCTGGCAGGTTTTATTTCTGCTTCTGTTAACTTACAGCTGACCGTAGGGAAAAAGGCTTCTCAGCTTATTTAGCCCATCTTTCCGTATATGAGTTGGCTTCTTAGCCCACAGGGACTTTCTAATGCCCATGCCTATCTTCATTGCTGGCTAAACATGAGACTTTATCCTGCTCCTAACACTATTTGCACTATTAAGTCATTACCATTAACTACATTTAGGTTTAGGGAACCTTTGCAAGATGCAGAGGTGGAAAGAACTGCAGGTAGCTCTGAGCATTACTTTATTTACACATTACAAAACACCCCCTGCAATAACTGTTAATTTCTTCCTATTACATTTAATTATTTTCCCATCCTCACTCTGAGGTAAAGTAGCCACACATAAAACAACAGTTGCAATTGCAATGCTTTTTTAAGCTGGGATGTTACAGAAATTTCACACCAGAACAAAGATTCCACCCCTGACAAGGGTATTCTCAAGACACCCTCAGATACTACCCGTTTCTCTATCTGTATTTTAAAATGGCTAATTAAATAGAGGCTTTGTAACGAACAGATTTTATACAGTTCAGACTTGAGCAGATAATTGTTACCAACCTGTTGTCAATCCAGTCTTACAATGATTCTTAAAGTCATTGCTGTAACAGACCCTTTTGCTCTTACAGTCAACCCTTTGCTTCTCATTCTCCCAGTGGGCTAGAAATGGCTGATTTTTAATGTGCGACAAAAAAGCAAGAATTAAAATCTCCCCTCCTGTTCCCAGATCTCTCTCAAACACCAACAAAAGAGAGTCTGAGACCTTACCAATGAAAAATCCCTGTTTCATTCACCCCTCACCCACTGCTGCACTATTCTTAATGAGGATATATAAGCCTGAAGGCTTAAAAAAGTCTCCTAAATAATCTGTGGGATCACACCGCAGTCTCTTGCTTAACCCTCCCCTTTTAAAAATTTTTTTAAATGTGAACAACCAACCTACTTTGTAGTACAAAATGTAAATTTCTGCTCCTGTGTCCTTCATCATGCGATAAACAATCTGAGTTACTGATAGGAGCATGAGCATCCGGGCTGTACATAAACAATGGAGGCTCCCCTGACAATATACGAAGGAACTAATGGGCTGAGCAATAAGTTACTGCTGTGCTTTGAGAAACAAAGGAAAGCCAAGTGCAGCACCATGCAAACGTGTGCACTGTGGTTAGTACACTGGAGTTGCAAGGAAGGTCTTTCGCACTTGTATAAACCTACAATGGTTCATTCTGCAAAGAGAACAATTATGTTTAATGACATGGTGATTAACCTCCTTCAACAGTGACTGAGCAGACAATATACTAGCACCAGAGGAAGGAGGGAATGGGTTGGTGCGTGGAAAAGACTAATTTATTTTAACAGTGTATTCTAATGATGATTATTTTTCATGACCTCAGTTTGCAAAGTCCATGTAATTCCTCATAGAAAGTTTCTCCACACAGCAAATCTTTCATTAATCTTTGTTCTAAAAATAAAATAAGCACATGCCAGAGACCCTGGCATTTTGGACCAAAACCCCTGGAAGTGATACGCACATGATGCAGAAAGGGGATTCAAAGAAAAATAAATGGCGGTTATTAGCAGTAGTTATAAAGCAGCAAAATGCAGCAAGTTTAAAAAAAAAAAAAGAAACAAATAAAAAAAACCTTGAGCTTGCTTTACTTAGAGAGACAAAAACCCCTCGTTTAGAGCAACTTCAAATCCTAGCAGGAAAATTCATCCCCGCTGCTGAAGCAAATGGAGAAAGGTGAGAGAAGAGAAAAAATATCGGCAGCAGAGAAGCTGCTTGCTGAGCAAAGTCAATCACTGTGGAATAGGGTTCAGTGCCTCCCATTCCCAGCCAGAGAATGGAGCTGCTGTGGAGCTGTGGGTTATGCACGTGCAAGCGCTGCTACGCTCGCAGCGCTGCAGCGTTACCGAGCCTCAGCTCCTGCACCCACGCCGCCTGCTCGGGCAGTGGGGCGAGATCACACATACAAGGTCTGCCTAAAGAGTTACAACACCCATAGGAAATTGTTTGTCTGTGTTTCTCCGTCCATCATGCTACTTATTGTTGTGTTGGGTTTTTTGTTTTTAAGTAGTGTTCTGTTTGTTATGTTGTAAACCTGAGCTTTTAATTCCTCCACGAAATAATACGACAGAATCTATAAGCCTACTTTAACGGGTCATTTTTCAGTTCCTCTGTGAATTCCATGCTGTTTTGATTCCAATATCCCATCCATACCTGGGACCAGAGTCCCCTGGACTGCTACCCTTCTCACACTCAAATCTCCAAACACAAAGGAGGGATGGAGAGACGTGAAACCAAAACTCACAGCCTCGCTTTCCATACAGCTTACAGCATCTTTACCCTCAAGCCACAAAGGAGGCAAACACTTTTCTTCATACAAGACTAAACCTCTAGTGCTCTAAGGAGCTAACAGGTACAAGACCTCGACAACTCTAGGTTGCCCACTTCGCTTTTTTCTCCTCTCCAATTTACGCTAGTAGGCCGCAACATTAGGATGAAGGATGCTCCTAAAGCCAAAATTCAGTTATTGTCTGAAACACCAGGGGTCATTCCTTCCTGATCCCAGGGAGACTACTCACATGAGAAAGGGAAGGTAGAGGGTGCGTCACAGTCCAGTGATACACCACTGCGTATCACACAGAAAATTTTGTACTACAGGTGGATTTTAAAAAATGGTTAAAACGAGAACTGAAATACAGCTTCAGTGGCCCTATAATGACCCTCTAAGAGAGAAACAAATTTCAGTTTGGCTTAACAATATTTTTCCTTTGAATTTCAAAAGAGCATTCCTCTTGTGTATTTGAATCTCTCCTCCTACCAGAAAAGCCAGGATGGGTGCAGACCTGTCATCCCAGGGCACGTTTTCCAAAATACTGCAGCTTCATTTCTGAGTGTTAATGGTTGTGACAATTAGGACTTTACAACAGTGACACATGACCACGCATGTGACCAGTCAAAGCTTAGCTGTGCAAATTTGTTTTGGAGCCATATGGAAGCGACTAACTTTCCTCCTGCATTTTTAAATTCCCTCTAGTACTGTATGCAGGTATGTATCCAAAAACCTTCTCGGTGATAGGGATCTAGCACTCAAAGCAGTCTGGCGGTGAAGGTCTGCCATGCGTGTCTGAAGGGTGTCCAAAGGCCACAGAAACCAAGAGCATTGTTTCCATTCAAGCAATGGGCATGGCTCAGACTCATACAAACCCTGAGCAACCTACCACCATCATATGCATCTACCTCACAGAGTATTCCTGATTTATCTGCGAATCTGTCCCAAGCAGAACTGCAGGCCACAGCACGGTACACAACTACAATGCACAGCACAGACCTGCGCCCCTGTTTTAGCATAGCAATCCCCCATAGTCAGACCAGGATGCACAATACAAGAAAAGACCACTTCCATCCCCACAATTTACATTCCACCTGGAAAGATACCTACAGAACAGTATCTTAACCTCAGCCTCTGCTTAAACCTACCATGATTAAGAGGATCTACATCAGCAAGTTGCCATTATCTTTCATTTTTGATCTTGCTTGTACGTGTTCTAGCTTCACTCACTTCCTTTAACCTAGAAACTGTCAGAGGCACAACCTGTGTGTGTGTCTCCTTCAATCTATGTACAGTACTGTGTAAAAATTCCTGCACTCCACATGATTTCATCATAAACAAACAGTTTGAAAGTTTGGTCCAACAAACAGATCCAGAACCTTTTCCTAATGCAACCTGATAGACAGCATCCTGCCACTGACTGCTGGAGGATGAACATGGTGGAACAGAGAACTTATCGTTCAAAATTTCCACATCCTTCCTGGTGATTAAAAATGCTATTGTCATAGCAAAACATTCAGCCCAGTTGTTACACAATTTTTTTTTTTTTTTAAGCCATAAAGTATCTGTTTCTTGGCATGTCAGAGCTGTGGAAAGACCACAGCTGATCGCAAAATAGCAGAAAATAAATCAGCTAGGACAGAAGAAAGTTAAGGGGTGAAGGAAACCGCTTACAAGGGTTTTTCTCCCATGTTAATAGCCAGGCAAAAGGAAAACCACACAGTGTTAGTAGAGCGAACACCTGACTCAGCTGTTCATACCCTCAGAGTCATAAAGTCTGGAGTACCGAGGACAGAGCGTGGAGGCGGGGAAAATGCAGGGTTTATGGAATCGTAAGAGAGGAATTTTTCAGCTGAATTAACAGTCATGTGGTAGATGTGCTCAAAGTTGCTCGGAGAGGAGATCAGACGGGAGTGATGATGAGGGAATTGGTAAGGGGAACGCTGCTATCAAAGACAACAGAGAGAGAAAGCAATGAAGGATGGTTGTACAGGTTACACTGGCAATAGCAGTCCGCAAGAGCAGTCAAACACTGAAGGACAGCCAGGCAGCAACCCTGCTCGCCCGCCAACACACAGGTTCTTACATTGTCACCCCCAGTCCTCTGAGCACCTTCCTTATATGATGTCATATGGGCCTGCCGCCCTTGCTGTTGCTAAAACATTAAAAACAAATAAAACTTTTAACTCATTGGGAATCGATTCTAATATTTATTATTATTTGATATTTCAAAGAGCACCACAGTTGTAAAAGGTGCTTTACAGACAGTTGAGAAGCATCAGTTCCCTGCCTTGAGGAGCTTACAATCTAAAATAGACATAACACAAACAAAGGTGAACACAGGTGAGATGGTGTGGGGAGAAGAAAAGATGAGAATACAAAACAGTTAAAGATCGTAAGAGATTTCCTTCTGTTATCCATGCATTTTAGCGATTGCATTAAAATTAAGTATCACCCATACAACATACACAGAGTATTTCTAACGGGAGGGAACAGTGTTTCAACAGGATAGGGACACAGGTCAAGTGGGAAGGTGAACTGGTTAGTGTCAGACAACAGGGACAATTTACTCTGGTGTAGACAGACGAGACAAGGCTTATGTCCTTCTGCACACTCACTTAATCCTCGCAGCGCTTTAGTGATGAAGAGACTTTGCACTGCCATCTGTGCTGCAGAGGACAACGCCCTTAGCAGATAAGGTGCAAAAGTATTGGGAAATTCAAACGTTTTTAATAGGTCAACTGAGCAATGCGCTCCCAAAGCGTGACGTAAAGAAAGAGAGGGGAGAAATAATCTTGCAAATTAAACAGTAGCGATTTCTAATTCATGTCTCCAGAATGTGCTCTTGTAATTTAAGTCATCTAAATCCAGATTTAATGGAAAAGCGTTTCAAGGCTCGGTCTCCCTTCCCTGTGCCATCTGTACATGTTCAGCAGGTCAACCTGCAAGGGCTTGGTTTGCCCAACGGCCACCAGCAAATCAGAAAGCCTTTTCTATTTTCTAACGTCTAATTTTCGCTTCCCCTTGTCCAACTGATTTAAACACCTTAAAACAAACAGATCTGAGTAACATTAGAAATGTTAGGACTTAAAAAAATAAAATATGGTAAAAATACAGCTTACCCCTCCACTAAACCTAAGGCACTACTTTTTGTAAGTGGAACGTATTAAAGTCTGGAAGAACAGTAAGTCACATCCCAATACATATTATCAAACATTATTTTTACTGTTCTCTTAATTTCAGCTGGTAAAATCCAACTTCTTTTTTTTAAACACACAATTATTATGAGGCTTTGCATGTTAACCAAAACATCAATTACCACATTATGGCATATAAGACATAATATACATTAAATTGTTATTAGTAAGTTTAGCAGCATCTAGGTATTAGTACAAGAAGCCACCATTCCAAGAATGGTCCGGGAAAGCAGACTTTGCTGAGTTACCTACTCACAACAGAGAGCTGGCAGCAAAGGCAGCTACATTCCTAAAAGCCAATACGGGAGAAAAGGGAGTGTCTTAAATCACAAGCTAAAAAGCAGAGTAGGCCAACTGCAGACCATGAAAATATTTAGCCGGCATTCATGAATGTGAGAAAGCCACGATATGGCAACATTTTTAAAATGATCCTCCATGGAACTTTCTCCATGGGCTCTGCCATTAGATGCATGCATGGGGTTCCCACTTTCTTTAAAGAATACCAAAAACGGGTAAGTATTCATTTACTCTGAAAGTTTCTCATTTGAAACAAGCAAAGCTTCACACATCATCTAGAATGGAGGTATAATGGCTCATGTATAATGAGGTCAAACTGAAGCATAATGTTCAAATATAATGGCAGTCAAGACTAGCTTTTGTATGTGAAATACTTAGGCATGCAGAATATGAAAGCAAAATCAATCCTGTACATCTGATGTATACAGAGAGGTCGTCTGTGCTGCAGTAAGTGCAGTTCCAGATTTCAGATCTTCACTACAAAGGAGCATCCACGATAAAGTGGCTTCAAGGGACAAGAGGGCAGAAGGGAGGCCAGACTGTATGGCCAGTTAATTGGTGACAGGCTGCTAGGGAAGAAAAACATGTAAATAAATAAGTTCGGGGATATACTAAGAGGAATGATTCTAAATTGTACAAAACAAGACAATGACCCAGATCGAGTATCCACAGCAAATAAAATACAAATATGTACTGGTTATGGCTCTGTTAACAGCAAACAAGAACTTCTGGTTTCTGTTGTGTTGCAGTCCACAAACTTTTTGCCAAAGCCAGACCCGTGAGTAGCTGCTCGCCATGAAGAAAAGAAGGATGCAAATTTACAATTGCCTGATAACCTCTAATATTTTCTCTCTTAAATCTGATCTCACTCTGAGCCCTGGACTTGTTTGTTTCTGCCCAAACACAGGGCTATACTGAAGTCAAGGGTGTCTGTTCATGGAGAGAACAATGTGGGACTAGGTTAATAGACTGAAATTTGCCATAAACATAACTCACTATTCATGTTATGTGCCTACTGTATACCAAGACCTGGGAAACAACGCACAGAGAAAGCATCTTTCCCCCTTGTGTGGCTGCATCAGCAAGGGCAATCACATGCAGACAGGTCTGTTGCGCGTATGTTGTATACAAAACAGATGGCTACGTATCAAGTAGCCTGAAAGAGTCTACCACACTCCATTTATCCAATTTTCATTTTGTACTTTTACAGGACAAATTAAAGTCTCTAACGGTGGTCTTTCAAAAGACACCATTAAGAACAGTAGTGGGCAGAGAGCAAGCAAGCTCCTGTTGGCTCTGCATCTACCAGGCAGTTAGACCATGGGTTAAGGCAGCACAAGTGTATGTCCCCTCCTGCCCACCGACGTATCGCAGCCCAGCCATGCAAGGGCCATTGCTACTAGTTCTAATTCTGCGCTTCGTTCAATTTTTGGCATTTCCCCTGAAAAAGGCAGCAGAGGCAGGTTAGTGGGACTGCAGAGATAAGTTTTGATTGGATTCATATGGCATATCAAAAGTGAATATGTATCTATTCATAAATAAATATAAATACATACATATACATAAACATTGTCACTTGCTATGTAGAGTTCATGCATGCATGATAGATAAAAGCTAGGCTGAGCTGGCTATTTAGTTTGTGACAATCTCATCCAACACAGAGATTAAAATACCTGTTCTCTATTAAAACCTATTTATTACTAAGGACCCTTCTGCCTACATAGCACTATACTGACTTCAGTGAAAGCTCATGCTGGATGAACAAATTTGTATCAGTAGATCCAGCCAAATTTGAAATTGCTCGAGTAAGTTGAAAGAAACTGCAAATAAAAAGGCCCACCCCATTCTTTCATACACTTTCTGCATTCCAGTATCTCATACAAAAAGAAGCTGGTATCACCTAAAATAGTTGGATGAAGAGAATTTGAGAAAACTATTAACCTTGCACTACTTGTTCCCCCTAGTGGTAGCCCTCTTTAAATGCAAAAATGTATTTTATCATCCCGTTTCATAAACACAAACAGGCATTCGCAAAGTAAAATGCTGCAATCTTTCCCATAGTTCTTTAAAAAGAAATATTTTTTCTTCTGAAACATACTCATCTACTTAAAAATAAAATCTTAAAAAGAAGATGTTCCAGCTGCAAAACCATCACACCTGCTAAGAAGCACAAAAACATATAGCTATTCACCTTTTTGGAACAAGGTATGAATCTAGTGAAATAATTCTATGTGCTTGTAAAGAAACTGCCATACAGATGAACTGTACACAGGGCTGAATGAGTATTATTTTACCTTATATCCCAATTCTCCAGGAAACATCCTCTATTTCCACCCTTTCTTTTAATTCTAAGTTTATCTTTCAAATAAAACATTAGACTCAACACATAACATCACATGCACACACAACTCCTTTTCTTCTATTTTTGTGCCTGAGAAACAAAGTAGGTAGTTTGGAACAGGCTAAATGAAAGCTTAGTCCAGCCAAATACCTTACAGGAAGCTGTTGGAAAAGAAAAAGCTGCCTGAACTGTAGTAGCTCTTGACAGAACATTTCCTAATCTCAAATTACACTTTCAAATTCACACACTTTCAAGTCTCATGATTGACATAATTAAGTTAGGGTTGACTAATCCATTAGTTAATTGATTGATTTATCCATTACGTTAGGAATACAAATACAACACGATATTGCAAGGAGCTGCTGGAAAAATACACATCAAATTTGCTTTACCTGCAGTGACATCTCCCAGCACTAAGATTGATAGCTACTTGCAAATAGGAGTTTTTAATAGTAACTTTAAAAAGTAGCTGCAGCAGTGGAACAAGCGCTGAAATCAATTCTATATCATACACATTTTTTAATGTCTTCTCATCACTTTTAAGTGTGGAAAGTGACTCATGAATTTCTTTCAAAACAACATATCGATTGGTAAGAAGCAAAGTATCAGTCCTAACTTCAAATATGGCCTTTGAGCTAATACAAGGCTTGCATAATTAGAAGAATTCAAAGCTAAGAGACATTTAGAGATGACATAGCTGAAGAAATATTAATCCATGTAAGTCTAGAAAATCCCCTTCTATAAATAAAAATAATTCCTCATTTTACACTTGCCAGATTTGGGGCTTGATTAAGAGTCCTTGCAGCTTTTGATTCCCATGAACTTTCAACTACTAATGGTGTGAAACGGGATGTCTTTTGCCCTACCTTTAGCAGTAGCAGATTATTTTCTTTGCTTAAGAGAAAAAAAAAATATTTTAAAGAACTCACTAGAAACGGAAAAGTGAAAAAAGGTTCTGATCTACATCCTGCCCTGAAGCAAATTATCACCCTCTGTTTAACATTAGACATATATATACACTCATATTCAGTAAGACAACACTACCTGCCAACTTCCCTTGGATTTGTCATGTGTTTTCTAGAAGCAGCTCCTTCATTATTTATTCATTTATGAACATACACACACAGTGTTTTTTGCTCAATTGCACTAAATATATTTTTATTGAGAAATTTCTCATCGAGTGTCTCTAGTCTGAGACAAAGTAAATCTTTTCCTTTCCTTGCATACTCTCATCTAAGGAAAACACAGTGCTAGAAGGGCTCATGTATGATGTGCGACTTTATGGTAAAGTGTAACAGAAAACTACCATTTGCTGCAAAAGTGAGGTAAAATGAGGTTATGCTCCTGAACTCCTAAACTAGTGCAACTGCATGGCACACTTCATTTTCCAGTCTTACTGTTGTTTCCTTTGGGGTTTTCAGCACCTGAAAATTCCAATTTCAGCATCTACTTCCTGCTTTCTGCACAAACTCCAAGTAATAACAACAATCATTTCAGACAGCACTTCCATACTAATACCTATATCTTATGGTGATACTCATAGAATCTGTTTGATACTGTATCATTTGATCTTTCTTACAGTGCTAATTAGCATCTTCTGAATCACATCTGTGTCATTGTGGACAAGTTTAGAAAACAATACAGAACACACAAACAAGATGCTCGAGGTAGCGTGAAGCAAGCAGTATGATATTCTCCTATTAAAAATATATTAATTGGTCTTTAGCTCATCAAAAGTTTCAGTAACTTCCAGGTGAGTATTTCCTATATAAGGTTTTGTGGAAACAAACATGTATGTGTGCTATTACATGTTTTCCCATTTTTCAACTTAAAAGGTTAGTTTTTCTGTAAGAACTTCTGTTTCATTGAGACTAGTTAATTTGGAGAGAAAATGAAAAATAGCATCTTTGCCGTGGAAGGAAATTTGGGCACTACACACTGTTGAACTGCTACAGTTCCACTGTCTGAGGAAAAGAGGCTGTAAAGAGTGAGGCTAAGTTGGAGCTAAAGATGGGAAGAGAAGAAAGGAATTAAACTTCCAGCGATACAGTTCATGGAGAAAGGAATTTCTCTTTCCATTCCCACAAAGAACACAGGCCCAAATCCTCTTAATTTTTTCTCTTCATACGGTCATAAAAATTATCATCAACACTGAGAGGCCAACCTGCCTTAAAACCCAGAAGGGATTAGCCACTCCTCCTCCTCCCCTCGATGCTCAAGTGTCATCCTCTTTGTTTAAATTTTTTCATGTAAAACAGAGTATGCTCAGCTCCATTTCCCTAGTTACACTGCTCCTGATAGGAAATACATCAACATTCTGAATACACATTTAAAATTGTATTTGTCTTTCACTTATTTGCAGCCTCTGTTGCAGTCAGTCACTCTCATCTGTACTTTACTACTTACCATTGGAAGGTCTTTGAGAATCTGTATACCATCTCCGGGACCCATATGTGCTATATGGTTAAAATTAGTTGGGTTAGAAATTAATTTATTTCTCATTTCTGGATCACGTAGCATCTCCCTGGAAGAGAAAATACTTTGTTTAGGTATTTCATTCGAGGTGAGGATGGATTTATAAAACAAGTACAGCTTTGATTATAAGCTACTTTCAAATGGAAATTAACTATTTAACCATGTGAACAGTGATAAACCCTTGCTATCAGCACTGGCATGGACAAGCTTCCAGCTTGAAGAGAGGGCAAGGGACCAGAACAAAAGAATGCTGTTTGCAGGCTAACAGCCCATGCCCAGTAGTTACTAATATTCATATACAAACACTATGAGCTGATAAAAAGCTCTGTAAGATGAGTAAAAGCAGAACTAATTTGTGATGTATTACAAAGTGGAGATGAAAATGAAGTAAAAACATGAAAATAGAATTAAAGTAATACTGCAGTACCTTTCTCAGTCTGTGGTCAGAATTAAAAGCTCTTCAAAATGGCAAGGATGCATTTCAGAACTCAGAATAAATAGAATTTTAAAAGACCAAACCGCGATCAGCTCAGAAAAGCAAGGACAAGAACTGGATTTTTATCTCCACTGTACACAGCTGTTACTTTTCTTAGAGCCAAAAAGGAAGGAAAGCTGGGAGCCAGCCATCGGTGGAAGACGTTGGAAGTTAGAAAACTGAAATACTCAGTTCTTGGAGTGTAGCTTAGCACAGTAGCAGGTCATCTTTAGTGAGTGATAGTAAATGGTCAGTAACATCCTCTGTGAACACTGTGAGCAGTGCAGACCTATTTTTATTGACATTTAGGAAAGTATTTGTGACCTGTTAAAGACTTCTATTAGAAACATATCCTGAAGTCCTATGTCCTCTGAAGAGGTGAGTTTTCTGAGATTTATAGAATGTTTATGTAGTTAAATCTATAAATCAAGGAAGCAGACGCCTTGGAATACTGCTGAGAGTAGAATTGCCTTCAGAAAGAAAAGCAGAACCAGAGTCTGAAAGTAATTAATCCATATGCATAGTTAGCATAGTAATCTCCTTTTTCAAAGTGTTTATTACAGATCTTTATACATATAGTGTATCTGCACACCTATGTACCTATATACAGTACGTGGAGACATGCATTCCAAATTACAGCTGTTTCACATAATTGATTTCAACTAATAACTACTTGTGTATCCAGTGCATATCCATATCCAAACAGGTATTAACACAAATTAAACACTGTGGATTAAGGCAGTAGGAAGAGACAGAAACATCTGAATGGGCACTCCAGAAAGCAACAAATGAAGTACTACATTGGCATCACTCACTGTCCTTCAGGGCCTACAGGCATGTACAGAAGAGAAGTACATGTTGAATACTGACCTCCTCTGCTGCATCCTCTCTTCCTCCGGTACTCGGAATGAATAGCGGCGCTTGTTGTTGATGTTTCGAACCATTTGCTTTCGGCTGTTATCTGATGTCTCAGGAACTACCAGTTCATCACCCTCTGAAATCAATATAAATATGATGATCCAGTGAGACACTTAATTAGGTATTCATGGAATTTGAATTCAAAGAGATTTTCTCCCCCTGTGTCCGACACGACCCATTTCCCATCAAACCTGAACAAACACTGCTTGATTTATGGGTTTTCTTTGTCACTATCTACTCTGTTATATAGTAAACCTTCTTCACACACAAGCTGCCACAACTATGTTCGCAAAATACCACTGATTAATTCTTTCAAACAAAACATTTAGGTATGCAGGAAAGCATCTCAGTCCTCTATCTGAAACTTTCTTTGGCAGCTCTCACTGAAAATCAGTAGAACAGTCTTGTTCTGCCAGTCGTCTGGAAACTCAATGCAAGATTCTATTTCATTCTTTC